GTGAGGACTTCGTCAAGACTTTGTAGATGCTGAGAGAACGTGGATGAAAACACTACTACGTCATCGAGATAGCACAGACATGTTTTTCATTTCAAACCACGCAACACGTCGGCTATCATGCGTTCGAAGGTGGCGGGTGCATTACAGAGCCCAAAAGGCGTCAGCATTGAACTCGTACAACCCATCTGGCGTTGAAAAGGCGGTCTTCTCTTTATCAGACTCCGACAATGGTATCTGCCAGTAGCCTGACCTAAGGTCGAGGCTAGAAAAATACTTTGCGCCCTGTAATGGATCCAGTGCATCGTCGATTTGAGGAAGAGAATAAACATACTTGCGGGTTATTTTGTTTAGCTCACGGTAATTGACGCAGAAATGCACTGTCCCATCTTTCTTTTGAACGAGAACAACTGGGGATGACCAGGAGACTCGAGGAAGGACGTATGATGTTGCGTCGTAGCATGTCAGACGTTTTCTTCGATGATCTTGCGTTCTGCCTGAGACACGCGATATGGACGCCGATGTACAATACGAGAGCCGTCAGTCTGGATGCTGCGAGTAGCGGCGGTAGTCATGCTGAGGGCGGGCGAGTTCACGTCAAATAGAGAACGGTGTTTATTCAGCAGGGCGAGGAAATCTTCAGTTTGATCAGGTGTTAAGTCAGTGCTTATGGTTGCCGACACAGGTGTGGAAGAGGCATTGAATGGCAGTGATTGTGACTTTGGAACATCAGTTGTGGTTGTTGTTCGGAAGGGTAACAATCGCAACAGGCTCACTGTCGACCGCGCAAGATACTGTTGAACCACAGGGGAGCAGTACACACTCGGGCGTTTGATTTATGGTGGTTAGGTACGTAGACCCATCGAAGAAGCGAATAAGCCCTGGTGTGATCACCAAGCCCCTACGTAGGGTATGACCGAAAGGGAGAATTAGTACATCACCATCCACAATGTCGGTGCAATTAACATTTATAATTTCTTCGATGTATGGCTGAAGTACATAATTTGACGTGGTGACAAGGCGGATGCGTCGATCGTGTTCAAGCGGAGAAGAGTCAGTGGCATTTAGATGCAGGAGGCGCTGATGACGAGATATGAAAGCGGACGCAGAATACAAGAAATCCCACGCAAGAATGAGAGCGTGGGTGCACTCACGAAATATCGCGAAAACACTGTGATGACGAATGCCTTCTATGCAGACACGAACGGTACATTGTGCAAGTGGACGAATGAGAGCGTTGGTCGCCGCCCGTAGAGGTGGGCCGCCATAAGGTGTGGTGACTTTTCGAAGGCGGGAACAAAAATCAGCACGAATAATCGAAACGGCAGCGCCTGAACGCGTACACCTTCTACAAACACTACTATCAAATTCGATGGCCGCTCAGGAGGAATTGTTAGCTGTCCGGTAGATGCAGTTTCCCCTCCTAAAACTGCATTGGGGATGAAGAACGTACAGCGCGAACACAAGACGGGAATACTAAAGATGGGACACAGACAAGCGCTGACTAGCAACTGAATTTTTATTAACACAGAAGCGGAAAATATATACGGAAAAAACAACAGAAACAAGAAAACTGAAAAAATTACAGCATGACAAAGATTCTTCCATGTTATTGTTACACGCGCTCTTCTAGAAAAGATAATTCTTTGGCCGATAACCCGATGGAAGCCATGCTGATGCATAGCGACCCTTCTTTTGCGATATGAGCGGCTTCAATGATTTCACGAGTACGCATGTCCTGATGTCTGCCGATGATTGTTGTTTCTTCAAACAGGGGTGTGCAACCACAGGAACTGCAATGAATGGCCAAAAAACCTTCTTTGGCGTTGCGCACATTATTTTTGTGCTCTCGGAGGCGGTCATTTAGACACCTTCCAGTTTGGCCTATATAACAACACCCGCATGAAAGTGGAATGCGATAAATGACATTATGTGAACAATCTAGAAATTTCTTACGATGCTTGGTAGTGCACTGGCGTTTCCTTTTTTTTGACAGGACAGGTGACACGTGAAAGATATGACAATTTGTGAGGTGCTGAAAAAACCACTCGAACGCCGCACTGTTGCCCTATTTTCCTGAGACGATGTGAAATATTATGCATGTATGGTATGACCGAAATCTTCTTGCCTCGACCGGTTTCCATGCTTGCCTGCTGAACATTTTCCTGGCAGCTTTTCTTCTTTTTTCTGTAAATTACTTCCGCTACCGATGTGAGCAGCTTATGTGGATAACCTGCTGCTTCGAGCCGACGAATCTGCGCCAAGAAACTCTAGTGACAACGTGGTGACATGATTTATCTAATGCGTTGGAAAGACATGTTTGAACAATGCTTCGCTTGACTAATTTTGTGTGTGACGATGTGTACGGCAACAACGGTTTTGTGCTCGTGGTTCGTACATCCAACATGAATGTTGATTGGCAAATGTTAGTCTGAGATCTAAAAAACGAATGCTGTTGTCTTCTGGCATTTCATGTGTGATACACAGCGGCGACAGGCACTCTTTAAATAATGATATGAGGTGACTTGTTGCAACTTGAAAGTTATCTGCATTGCGCTTGAGAATCACTAGATAATCATCTACAAAACGGAAGGTTTTCAGAACGCTGCTACCATTGAGCCGTGCGTTAAGAGCTCTGTCTAACTTTGCTAGATAGAGGTCACTCAACAGTGGGGCAATGCATGAGCCTATAGACACACCATTCTTTTGAAGAAAAATTTCATTGTTCCATTCAACATAGGTAGATTTAAGGTAAAACGAGACAAGGTCAAGGAAAGCACCGCCACTAATACAAGTCGTGTTCTGGAATGCTACGGATCCAAATTCATCGATGCATTCTTCGATACATGAAATTAGTTCTTTGGATGGCAGAGAATAATACAAGTCTTTCACATCGATTGAAAAGGCGGTGAGCTGTTCGTTCGGGTTTTGGTTGATGAAGCTTATGACCTCTTGCGAATTACGGATGAGGAAAGGATCATCAATTTTGAGCAGCTTCAAATTTTGTTGAATGAAACTTGCTAGTGCTTTCTGCCACGTTCCTTTTTCTGAAATTATTACGCGAAAAGGTGAGTCTTCTTTGTGGGTTTTGCATGAAAAAAACATATCTAGGGCTAAATTCTGACATTTACCTATCGTTAGTGCCAGCTTTTTTAGATCTAGTTGCGAGCAAAGTAAGATGGCTTTTTCCTTAACTTTTGCTAGGGATACATCAGGGCATCGTTTAAACACAGAGAGAACAGCGCCATGCGCTTTTTGAAGGTACACATCATTTGGTAGTACAGCAAAACCTCCCTCTTTATCTGCTGGTACGACACACAGTTCATTCCGGAGCAAGAACGTGGAGACTTTCTTTAGAGGCAAGTTGTGGCTTGTGGGCTTACCATGCATCAGAACGTCAACGCCCTCGGAAACGCACCTGTCGCATTCATTCGTCGGTGCGAGGCTTGAGACCTGTCGAACCACAGATAGCAGCTCCGCGGGAGTCTTTCTCTGTTCCACTGCAAACTTTGGGCCCAGCCCCAGGGTGCGGCGCACTTGTTCTGAAAGCTGGACGTCATCAGCGACGTGGACGACGCCTTCCTGACGCGGTCTAGTTGGCTGCACAATCCGTAGTTGCCTCAGTGCACATTGCCACATATGTTCGACAGTGGAGTCTATAAGATTGTTATATTCTCGCCACCTTTTTCTCCTGCCAGCTGGTAGCCTTTCGTTGTGGTGAAGTTGTAGATTCAGGGTGTCCCGGTGGAGTCGTGCTTGCCTTTGCCATTCGGACCTTAGGATTTTGCACATCCTAACGCCATGGTGGTCCGAAGGGCTGAAGCCACCAAACAAGCTTTTTACTTCCGGAGGGAAGTAAAACCGGTCGAGGCAAGAAGATTTCGGTCATACCATACATGCATAATATTTCACATCGTCTCAGGAAAATAGGGCAACAGTGCGGCGTTCGAGTGGTTTTTTCAGCACCTCACAAATTGTCATATCTTTCACGTGTCACCTGTCCTGTCAAAAAAAGGAAACGCCAGTGCACTACCAGCATCGTAAGAAATTTCTAGATTGTTCACATAATGTCATTATCGCATTCCACTTTCATGCGGTGTGTTGTTATATAGGCCAAACTGGAAGGTGTCTAAATGACCGCCTCCGAGAGCACAAAAATAATGTGCGCAACGCCAAAGAAGGTTTTTTGGCCATTCATTGCAGTTCCTGTGGTTGCACACCCTGTTTGAAGAAACAACAATCATCGGCAGACATCAGGACATGCGTACTCGTGAAATCATTGAAGCCGCTCATATCGCAAAAGAAGGGTCGCTATGCATCAGCATGGCTTCCATCGGGTTATCGGCCAAAGAATTATCTTTTCTAGAAGAGCGCGTGTAACAATAACATGGAAGAATCTTTGTCATGCTGTAATTTTTTCAGTTTTCTTGTTTCTGTTGTTTTTTCCGTATATATTTTCCGCTTCTGTGTTAATAAAAATTCAGTTGCTAGTCAGCGCTTGTCTGTGTCCCATCTTTAGTATTCCCGTCTTGTGTTCGCGCTGTACGTTCTTCATCATGCAATACCAACTAGCCCAAAGTTTCACTCTTCTATGCATTGGGGAGTTTTCCACGTGGGCGTTCGTGGAATGGGAGGCGGGCTGCTGAGGCGACACTGAATGGCGACCTGGCGAAGGTGACCTGCGGTGAGACGTACGGAAATTCCCAAGCATGTCTGTATGATAGGTAGGAGACGGTGAACGATAATAATACGATCGCGAGGGTGGTCGTAGGCAGTTCATGGACGGATGGAAGCTTCGATGTTCTTCGGGAACGTAGCCGGGTTGATCGTCTTGTTGGCGCCTTCGACAAAACCGAGCGATATGTCCTCGATAGCCGCAGTAGTAACAGATCTGCAGGACTCGCGCAGCTCGGCTGTGACACGCGTCGAATCCAAACAGCGAGTGAGGCCCACCAGTCTCTGATTTAAAGCGGTACAGCTATTGAACGACCCGAGACACCGCCATGACGGAGCCGCCGGAAGCTATCGGCCAGGTGGAAGCCCAGATGAACAAGGACATTGGAGATTTGGCCGCGTCGCCCATCAAGGACGAGCAAGGTGACTCGAAGGACACCGCACCGTCCAACGGGGGCCACATCGAGGGCCATGCCCACGGCAAGGTGGTCAAGCCGGAGGATCTCACGACCGGGGAAATGAAGCAAGGCGAGGTCGATGGAAAAGCAGCGGAGAAGCAGCCTTCGGCACCGGGAGGGGGAGCCGACCAGGTGAAACGCCAGCTGATTGAGATCGTCGACGCTGAGCAGACGGTCAACGAGAGCTCGAGTGAAGAGGATGACCTCGACGATGAGGAAGACGAGTCGTCCGACTACACCGACGAGACTGATACGGAGGGCAGTGAGGACGTGGAAGACAGCGAGGAGGAGGACTGACGGCATGACTCCTCCATCCTGGGTCCGCCATGCCTCCGCGATGAACATCCTCTCAGCTCGGACCCCACCAAACAGCACTCCCCCGGGACCTCAAGAGAGAGAGAGGATAAAGAGTCATTCGGTTGCAGCGCTCACAATATATATATATATATATATATATTGATATACCCTGTCATCTTTTATGTTGAAGAACAGGGTTCATGTATTGTAATAAAACTTGTTGTTGGGCTAGTTGGTACAACATTTCTAAAAGTCAATTCGAGCGCGAACACACAATACGATCACTTACACACGCACTCACACACGATGCCTGGGTGTGTGCGTGTGTGAATGATCGTGTCGTGTGTTCGTGCTGGAATTAACTTTTAAAGTTCATGTAGTTGTCGATGGAGTGGGTACTACGGAGCTTGTGGATACAGGCCCCACAATCTCGGTGATGAGTAAATTTTAAGAACACGCTAGCACCAAAAGGGGTGCTTTGCCTGAACCATGGGGTGACATTTCGTGGTGTAAGAGGTGACGGGTTGTGTCCGGTAGGATATTGTACTGCGGACATCTCGCTGTGTGGCAAGGTGTTTTGCACAGAGTTAGTGGTTATTCCACGGTCTACACATGACGTTATCTTGGGTATCGACTTCTTGTGTGAGTGTGGGGCAACTGTAGACTGCAGAAGTGGGCACCTTTCTATACATGGTACTTTCCCAACGGTGCTCTTGGAACATTCCTGTCTGTAGGAATGCATCTTTTTCGTCTGCGTGGACGCAGTGGTTCCTGCATCTCTTGCTGCGTGTGTTCCAGTGACATGTTCCAGTAACAACTGTGACACGTTTGACGCCATGCTCGAAACGATTCCCTTGGCATGCCTGAAAAAGAACATCCTATTTTTCCATTGTATAGTGTCAGTCGTTGATAAACGGGCAGTGTGTGGACAATGAACAGTTTCATGGAGCCTGCAGTTTTGCCAGGCGGCATGAAACTTGTAGTATTTAGGCACGAATCATCTACTACTCTGGTTGCGCCTATTGATGCTACAGCCAAAACGAACATCAAGGCTTAGAAGGTTCAGAGGATGCCCAATTGCTACAAATGTTGAGCAAGTCACTTGACCAAAGCGAACGTCATACACTGCCCGAAGTTCTATCCAAGCACTCGAAAGTGTTCGATTTTTCTAAAAATAGCCAAAGGCCCTTAATCGCACCGTCCCGGATACGTCATCAGATCCACACAGAGTCGGCGCATCCCAATAGGCAGAAACCTTATCGGGTGGCACCGTTAGAGCACAAGATCATCAATTACCAAGTCCAAGAAATGCTGAAAAGGGAATAATACAAGAATCGGCAAGTCCGTGGGCTGCTCCCGTCATCCTAGTGAGGAAGAAGGATGGTACGTGGAGATTTTGCGTTGACTACAGCCGACTGTATTCTGTTACCAAGAAAGACGTCTATCCACTGCCGCGCATTGATGACGCTCTGGACTGCCTGCATTCCGCTTCCTACTTTTCATTTGTTGACCTGAAACCAGGTTACTGGCAAATTCCGATGCGCGCAGCTGACAAAGAAAAGACGGCATTCGTTACGCCTGATGGACTTAACAAATTCAACTTAATGTCATTCGAGTTATGTAATGCTACTACGACATTCGAATGATTTATTGACTCTAAATTGCGTGGTTTAAAATAGCATATTTGCATGCGCTACCTTGACGATGTCGTAATTTTTGGACCTACGTTTGAGGAGCACAACACTCGCCTGGACCTCGTGCTCAATGACATTGGAAAGGCTAGCCTTGTGTTGAATTCAAATAAGTGCCACTTTAGCAAGTGGCAGAAATTTGTGTTGGGATATCTCTTCGATAAAGATAGCATTAGACCTGACCCACAAAAGACAGTGGCCATTAAATCGTTCGGGCGTCCTAAATCTGTGAAACAACTGCGTAGCTTTATCGGGCTCTGCTCGTATTTCCGCCTGTTCGTACCGAAGTTTGAAGATATCGTTCACCCCCTCACGAGCCTTCTACGCAGGAACAGCCCGTTTCAGTAGACCTCCGAGTGTGATGCCGTTTTTTTTTTTGCAGCTCATGTTTTTGTTACCCCGCAGCTAATACTTCGGCACTTCACTTCTTTGTCGCCCACAGAAATTCTCACAGACGCAAGTGGCACCAGTATCGGCGCCGTTCTCGTTCAGCGCTCTGGTAAGAAGGAACACGTCGTGGCGTCCTCAACTCATTATTTAAGCAAGGCTGAACGCATCTACACAGTGACCGAACAAGAATGCCTAGTGGTAGTCTATGCCATGCAACGGTTTCGCTCATACACCTATAGTCACCCGTTCACTATTGTCACAGATCACCATTCACTCTGTTGGCTGGTCAACCTCCGTGACCTATCCGGCCAGCTCGCACGATGGGCTATTCGTTTGCAAGAATATGTCTTCACCATTTTATACAAGACTGGTCGTCTACACCCTGATGCGGATTCCCTCTTCAGAATGCCGCTACCGACGACAGATTGTGAAGCCGATAACTTTGACCACCTCATCGCTTTTTTGTCGTCTGGCTTTTCCGATGCAGTGACTTTCGCCGCTGAGCAGCGTAATGACCCAAGCTCGAAAGATCTCTTCCCTGGAGCAAAACGTCAATAAGCGAAGGCCGATTCTGCGTCCGAGATGGTCTTTTTTTACTGGAGGAATTTGTCGTCATTGAGCACGCTCTTTCTGCTGGTTGCTCCTGCGTCCCTTCAAACGTCTGTTCTGCGTCTCACGCATGACGACCCGACCTCTGGCCACCTAGGAACCACTTGAACACTTATTCGCACGAAAGAGTGGTTCTATTGGCCAAAAATGAGCAAGACAATTCAAAACTACGCGCCCAGCTGTATACAGTGCCAGAGCCACAAGCGGCTCACTTCAGGCCCAGTCGGTCACCTGCAGCTCGTAATCCCACCCCCCGCCCCGGTTCTCGTTTTAAAAGGTCGGCATTGATCTGATGGGACCATTTACACGCTCCTCAAAAGGTTATCAGTGGATAAATGTATGCACTGACTAGCTGACGCAATACTGCGAGACGGTTTCCTCCTCCTCCACCTTGGCAGTCCAGGTTTCGGGGTTCCTGTTGGATTCAGTCATCCTCCGACACGGGCCACCTTCGCGTTAAAATAAGTGACCATCGTCGTCATTTTACCGCTGATATTGTGGAATCATTACTTCGTTTGTGTACCTCCAAGTTCCGACACTCAACTGCGTATCATGCACAAACTAATGACCTGACGGAGCGCATTAACCGAACGTTCAACATGTTGTCAATGTACGTCACCTCCAACCACAAGAACTGGGATGAAGCATTACCATTCGTCACGTATGCTTTTAACACGGTGAAGCACGAAACGACAGGCTACAGCCCTTTCTATCTGTTCTACGCTAGCTCACCTCGATATACGCTGGATACCATATTTCCTTTTGTCATCCATGAGGATTTCACAATTGCGGAAACTTTGTGTCGTGCAGAAGAGGCACGTCGACTCGCACGCTTACGAACACTGACAGTGCAAAAGTCCTCCAAAACTTGCATGACAGCCAACACGGGCATGTAACTTATGTCCCCGGTGATCTAGTGTGGGTGTGGACCCCAATACGCAGACGTAGCTTGAGCCTCAAGCTACTATCACACTACGCCGGTCCGTTCGTGATACTCCATCGTTTCAGTATAGTCAACAATGAAATCGCATGTCTCGCCACTAGTGGCCGGCGTTCATGCAAAACAGAGGTGAGGCATGTTGCCCACCTGAAGCCGTTTTCTCGAAGGATAAGAGAATGACTCGCCCAAACGGCTTCGCCCGAGAGAGGAGGAATGATACGAAGTGTCACTACCAAGAAAAACAAGGGAAACGCGGGTAGAAAAGGAAGTCCACGTTGCTCCAACGGTGATCGTGGTCTTAGTGCCCATTAAAAATTCCCTTAAACTACCTCACCGTACGTAACATACATACATACATACATACATACATACATACATACATACATACATACATACATACATACATACATACATACATTCATACATACATACATACATACATACATACATACATACATACATACATACATACATACATACATACATACATACATACATACATACATACATACATACATACATACATGTAAAATAGAGGAAACCAAGCGGAGCGTGTGGAAAAATGTTTGCTCAAGTGAAGGCAAAAAGCGTCATGGTCTCCAAGTGAAGCAACGTTTTCCGGTACGCGTTTAAAGTGAAAATAGCGTGAGGTAACGGTGAAAAATTAAAGGGGTGGTGCCACCGAATTTGTAGCATGCGTGTTCTTTGCTATAAGCGTTTCCTTCAGCTCAGGGAAGCGTGATACACGCAGCAAAAGTCGTGTATTTTGGCTAAATAATTGATTATTGCTATAGTTATGTGGACAATTTTCGGTTTCGGTTTCACGAAGCTGAGTTGGGCAGTGACATCGATGCATTGGTAGCTTGTTCATAGGACGCACAAGGCTCTGACGCACACCATGCTGAGTTTAGTCTGCTCTCACACACATGATGCCTTACGAGTACCAGCAAAACAAATTTAGTGATAGTCGTCATGGCCAGCTGCAGTAGCATCCAGGCAGAGTCAAGGCAAAACACAGCTAGAAGGAAACAAAGCGTTTATATTCACAACGTATGTACAAAAAATCGACGAGGAAGCCACCGGACGCTAGATACGCCGGCCTTTTATAGGCGCCGAGATGCTGATGGAGGATGAGGCAGCCCTGCTGTTGGACGCACGCACTGTCTCTGAACGACGCGTCGAGTGTCTTTTCGAAAGTATCCAGAGTCCATGACGGACGCACACAGTGTCTCTGCAAGAGACGCCAGCACACTCGTAACAGCAGGTATGCTGGTTCTCTCCTTGTTCACAAAATGCGTTTCGGAGGTGGCGGAGGTCACTCACGTCACTACAAATGTGGTGTGACGTCACAACTGCCCTTGCTTATCCTA